AAAAAAAAAAAAACATCTCTGAATCACAAATACGTGTACAGGATGAAAGAAAAAAAAAAAAAAAAAAAAAAAAAAAACACATGAGTCATGTCATAAGGAAACTTCACTCATTTTTCCCTTTCACAGGCCACTGGAACTCTGCCCACCCTAGAAGTCTAGAATCCTAAAAAAAAAAAAAAAAAAAAAACTTAAAAAAAGCCTAAAAAACAACAACCAAAAAACCAAAAAAAAAAAAAAAAAAAAAAGATTCCCTGTCTCCAGCACAGAACTTCCCCTAACATAAAAAAAAAAAAAAAAAAAAAATGAAGGGATATGTGTTAGAGGATCCATGTGCTCAGGAAAAAAAAAAAAAAAAAAAAAAAATCCCATGGCTCTGACACCAACAGCAAGCTTTTCAAACAGACTTTCATTTTGTTTAGTTTTAAATCGCTGAGAAGAGGAGGGGGAAAGGTTATAAAAAAAAAAAAAAAAAAAAACCAAGAGAATTACTCACTCACTGCTTCCCCATCCTAGAAAAAAAAAAAAAAAAAAAAACTATCTAACTGACCAAGTTAAGTAATGATGACCCTTTAAAAAAAAAAAAAAAAAAAAACACATTTGCCCAGAAAGAAAACGGATGAATCGGTGACAAAAAAAAAAAAAAAAAAAAAATTTCAATAGGACAAATGCTGATGTTATAAAGAATGAAAAAAAAAAAAAAAAAAAAAATGGTTGCAAAACTTCACAGAACTGCTTATATCTTAGTAAAAAAAAAAAAAAAAAAAAATGGTTAAAATTCACTGTTGTTTTTCTGGTAACTTTTTAAAAAAAAAAAAAAAAAAAAAAGTGATTTTTGTATTTGCAGAACTTGGTTCAAATTCAAAAAAAAAAAAAAAAAAAAAACCTCTGAGCGACCACCCTGCGCCCCGCAACGCACATTAAAAAAAAAAAAAAAAAAAAATTTTAAACATCAGTAATGAAAGTTTAATTGTAGATTCAAAAAAAAAAAAAAAAAAAAACCAGCTTCTCAGAGAAGTCTAATGAACAGCTATTAAAAAAAAAAAAAAAAAAAAAAAATACAATGTATTAGGTTGGTGCAAAAATAATTGCGGTTAAAAAAAAAAAAAAAAAAAAAAAAACTTTGATTACTTCTGCACCAACCTAATATACTAAAAAAAAAAAAAAAAAAAAAAAAAATATATATATATATATAAAATTAACTGAATTGATAAAAAAAAAAAAAAAAAAAAAGAAAATGCCTAGGTTTTTGAAATCACAAAAATCTAGAAAAAAAAAAAAAAAAAAAAAATTACTTGCTGTGTTATCTCAGGTAAAGTACTTACACTAAAAAAAAAAAAAAAAAAAAATTAAAATAATACTTATATCACATTTGAAGCCTTCTAGCGCACTGCCTGGCACAAGGCAGACACTCTACGAAATGCTGGTTTCTTCCATTACTTTTAAAAAAAAAAAAAAAAAAAAAGTGGTAGTCATCCTGGCAGCTGTTATATTGAAGTTGAAAAAAAAAAAAAAAAAAAAAAATGCAAATGCAGAGGTGGAGCTTTGTTCTGGGCCTTACAATCTAATCTGGGAGTTCAACTATAAAATCGGAGCATACCAGGAATGGGCCACAAAGAAAAAAAAAAAAAAAAAAAAACAGGGGAAGGCCAAAAGATAAGGAAAGCATTTCATGAAAAAAAAAAAAAAAAAAAAAAAGAGCTGTTCTTCTTCACCAGTGCTGCTGCTGCTGCTAAAAAAAAAAAAAAAAAAAAAATTTATTTTCTAATAGACATTATCCTAATTCTATGTTAAAAAAAAAAAAAAAAAAAAATTTCTTTTATCGTCAACTTAACTGGACCTATATCTATAAAAAAAAAAAAAAAAAAAAATTCTGCACAAACATATTCACCAAATCACCTAACTGGGAAAAAAAAAAAAAAAAAAAAACTCAAGGCTAATTTTTAACATTAACTTTCTCTTTCCAGCTTATAATGCCATGTACATTTCCTCCTTCTTGCAAAAGCAGTGATTTTATTCTAGTTAAAAAAAAAAAAAAAAAAAAATCACAGACACGGTATGGCGCCCAGATGCCTCATTATTAAAAAAAAAAAAAAAAAAAAACTTTAAACTACGGCATCTACTGCAATGTTGGAGCCCGAAAAAAAAAAAAAAAAAAAAAAATAACTGACAAAGAATTTATGTGGAAACTATGACTGAAAAAAAAAAAAAAAAAAAAAAAGTTTTCATATGCCTATTGTATGCCTTTATTTCTAAAAAAAAAAAAAAAAAAAAAAAACTAGTTTTCTTAACTACCAACTAAAACCTCTTCCAAAAAAAAAAAAAAAAAAAAAAAATTGATTCTTTTTAACAGTGGAGGAGTGACAAAGAATAAAAAAAAAAAAAAAAAAAAAATTAATTTCTAGCTTTTTCTATAAGATCAAGTAGTTCAAAAAAAAAAAAAAAAAAAAAGAGAAAATGGTCTGTAAAGAGACTCATAAAAAATAAAAAAAAAAAAAAAAAAAAAAAAAACATTGATGACCTAAATAAATGAAGCCTAAATGAAGTTTTTTTAGTTCATACACCTCCTGTACTGATAATTATAAAAACACTTTAGATAGATGCAAAAAAAAAAAAAAAAAAAAAAATGGAATGGTCATGCAGTTGGAAACACATGTTTTGGAAAAAAAAAAAAAAAAAAAAAAAATTGCAAAATGTCATGCATGTCTGTTCTCTCAAACAAAAAAAAAAAAAAAAAAAAAAATACGAGACAAGTGACCACTTCCAGTGAATACAAAGCATTATCATTTCCCTGAGGTTTCATCAAGCAAATATGGCATTTTTGAAAGACAAAGAGAAAAAAAAAAAAAAAAAAAAAAAACTTTTAGATAAAATGAAAGAAATACATGACAAGGAAAAAAAAAAAAAAAAAAAAAAATAAATCTAGCAAAGAAATAAAATTAGTCCCTTTTAAAAAAAAAAAAAAAAAAAAAAAGATAGAATGCTTATTTCCTCTTACATTCTCTGGATAAAAAAAAAAAAAAAAAAAAAATGTACAACTGTACTACAAGAAAAGGAATATGGAAATAAAAAAAAAAAAAAAAAAAAAATAGTTTTACAAGTGTTGAAATTGTCCATTACTGTCTCAAAAAAAAAAAAAAAAAAAAATACTCAGCTTCAGACTGATACTTGACACAGGGATTACAAAAAAAAAAAAAAAAAAAAAGTGGTGCCTGGAGGGATTACACAACAGCACGTTAGGTAAAAAAAAAAAAAAAAAAAAAGCTTGCCCGGATGTCTATACTCAATGTCAGTGAAGAAAAAAAAAAAAAAAAAAAAAAATAACTAGCACAAATCCCAGAAATATAACTTCTAGAGACAAAGCCCTCATGGAGTTATAGTAGGAATCCGACAATAAGTAACATGAGAGGCACATCAAAAAAAAAAAAAAAAAAAAATGGGAAAATTCTCAGTATTACATGATGTAAACTCAGAAAAAAAAAAAAAAAAAAAAAAAGAAGCGGGTCTGTTCTATCAAGGTCATGTCAAAAGGAAAAAAAAAAAAAAAAAAAAACAGAACACTTCTGAAAGTA